GCGGGTTCCATCCCAAATCCAGCACCCTGAGACTGTACGTAAGCCGTAAAGAAGGAGGCCGAGGACTAGTGAGTGTGAGAGCCACTGTCCAGGACGAAACATCCAAACTCCATAACTACATCATGGAGAAGGCCAAAACGGATGACGTACTCAGTGAATGTCTCAGACAGTGGCGAGATGAGGAGGTGCTGGAGGAGAGCCCATCATAGGAGAACAAGCCCCTACACGGCATGTACTGTACCACCGGAGCATAGCAGAAGTGGCTGATCTCAAGAAGTCCTACCAATGGCTAGAAAGGGCTGGCCTACAGGAAAGCACAGAGGCACTCATCATGGCTGCACAGGAACAGGCACTGAGCACCAGAGCGATAGAGGCCCAGATATACCACACCAGACAAGACCCAAGGTGTCGGTTGTGCAAAGAGGCACCTGAGACGATCCAACACAGGGTGCAAGATGCTGGCAGGGAAGGCCTACATGGAACGCCATAACCAAGTGGCTGGCATAGTGTACAGAAACATCTGTGCAGAGTCTGGGCTGGAAACTCTAAGGTCTAAGTGGGAAACTCCTCCAAAGGTGGTGGAGAATGAGCGTGCAAAGATCCTGTGGGACTTCCAGATACAGACCGACCAAATGGTAATGGCGAACCAACCTGACATTGTGGTGGTAGACAAAGGGCAGAAGACAGCCGTGGTGGTGGACGTGGCAATTCCAAGCGATGGTAACATCCAGAAAAAGGAACATGAAAAGCTTGAGAAATACCAAGGTCTCAGAGAGGAGCTGGAGAGGGCCTGGAGGGTAAAGGTGACAGTAGTGCCCGTGATGATCGGTGCACTCGGGGCAGTGACCCCGAATCTAGAAGAGTGGTTACAGCGGATCCCCGGAACAACCTCGGACATCTCGGTCCAGAAATGTGCAGTGCTAGGAACAGCAAAGATACTGCGCAGAACCCTCAAGCTCCCAGGCCTCTGGTAGAGGACCCAAGCTTAGAGAGGGATAACCGCCCGCGGAGGGCCAAAGGTGAGTGGACAATTTTTTATTTATATATATATATATATATATATGTATATATAAAAATACAAAACAATTATAATAAATAAAGAAATTAAAAAATATATATATATATTTTTATTTATTTTTTTATTATAATTGTTTTGTATTTTTAATTCAATTTTTTTTATATATAAAATATTAATTTATTTTTATTTTATTTTATTTTTTTAAACAGCTTTATGGTTTTCCTGGACATAGACAGACACCGCTTGAACTGCTGTCTATGGTCTGAACAACAGCTTACCTGTCATGGACGTGGGTCTCTCAGCTCCTCAACGACCATGCCGACCACTCACCTCGCTAGCTTACAACTGAACGCTTCTCAAATTATTCATATTATTTATTTATTTTTATTGTTCTTCATAAATCTGAAACCTATGTTTATGATATTTCTCCGTTGCTAAAGGTCACGTGACCACACTCACAGTGCCTGACCGTAAATACAGTCTATGGTTTTGATCCATGGCCATTTTCACTGCTTACTGGACACTCCTAGAACAGTTTGCTGTTCCAGGAGCAGATCGTTTTTTTGACAAGAATATATTCATTAATTATGCATGTAACTTCAGTATTACAGATATTTGTAGTTCTTTTTATTTTGTAATATATTTCATTTTTTTTTTTAAATCAGTTACTCTGAGCACTGATTATTAGTTTATAAACTTGATAGCACTGTGGAACATTCCTGACAATGATAATAATAAGACATTCTCATGAAACAAGACAACACTGTTTTTTATGAGAGAAAACATGTACATAATAGATTACACACATTTTGCGTAGTCTATTTATCTATCTTCTCCATGCATTTGTCTCCAGTAGGTTAGACTACTGCAATGGCCTGCTCACAGGTCTGTCCAAACAGGCTGTAAAACAGCTGCAGTACATTCAAAATGCAGCAGCTCGAGTCCTGACAAGAACCAGGAAGTACGACCACATTAGTCCAGTTCTCAGGTCTCTGCATTGGCTTCCTGTGGCTCAGAAAATATACTTTAAAACAGCTCTGCTTGTGTACAAGTCTGAACCAGCCCGGACTCTGAGGAGCACAGGGACTGGACTCCTGTTAGTGCCCAGAGTCAGAACTAAACATGGGGAGGCTGCTTTTCAGATTCATGCTGCTAAAATCTGGAACAGTCTTCCTGAAGATGTGAGACAGGCCTCCTCTCTGACAATGTTTAAAACCAGGTTAAAAACGGTTCTGTTTAGCTGTGCAAACAACTGAGGGTTTTTATATTTTTATCTTTCTTTTTAATGTTCTGTGATTATTTATGATTTTAATGCTTTCTTATTTTGTTCAGCACTTTGAGTTTCCTCGTGCTGAATTGTGCTATACAAATAAACGTGCCTTGCCTTGCCTATTTATTTCTTAAAGAGTTGAACCGCAGTCAATTCAGGTATATTATGTGAGCTTATGAACCGCAGAGCATTGGACAATTTGGACTTCAGCCAATTCATTTGAACAGAATTGTACAAGTTTTACATTTTACGTGAAAATACAAATGAAAATACAAGTATCCATTCAATTACAGTAATTGTCACAGTTTCACAAAAATCCATCGATCATAGCTGGTGGTGTTGAACAATGATTTATAATGATACTGACAGGCATGAAGTCGACTGACAGAAAGACCTGGACACCAGGACAAACACTGTAACCAGAGCCGTATGCCGTAAGAGACAGAGGTTTCATTTATTTGAACTAAATAACGTAGAAGATTTAAATAATGAGAATGTTATCATCATCTTCAATACGTTGGAAAAATGTTGAGAGACTCCCTGAATCTCAGCTTCCCATTCTTATTGACTGGTAGCATAAGACTATTTGTGATGGTGGAGAGTCTTGATGGCTTTGAAAAAGAAATTCAATGTCTACAGCTCCCAATTAAATTAGATTGAGCCAACATCATCGTCAACGATAACCTGCATATCCAAAATATTAGAAAATGTTTTCAGCAATAACTTTTTCTATAGTCTAATTGATGCTAGCCTGGCCTTAGCCATCTGTGCACTCTGGTCAATCATCATTTCCCTGCATGTAATTTGTACCATGGTGTGGCACGACCAGGCTAAGTTGATGCTTTAAAACATCATCAACGTCGTTGAACAAGAGGTTATATTCTATAATACAAACAAAACATAATTGGTTTGAAGGAAGTCAAAGTGGACAATATAATAGGTTACACGTTTAGTTGCAGCATACTTGGGTTACTTTAGTCGAAATAACGATTCAGTGGATCAATATAAGAGGATTTTCCATTTTCCATGTCAGAACTGTGTATAGGAGACGGTTTTGTGCAAGTGATATGTTACATTACTTAGTCACCTAAAAAGTAATCTAATTACAGTAACTAGTATTTATAACAGAGTTCTACCGCTGCATTCAAGCTTCTGCTGCATCTTTCTCCCTGTGAGATGGTGGTTTTTGTCTGGCATATAGTGTCTCCACTACCTCCAAGTTACCATGCAGCTGAAAAAATCTTTTGAGTGAGTGAGCGAGATATAATATTTTGAGAAGAACTCGAACCTGTGCTAAAAATCTTAGTTGGGTGTTGCTGGCAGTGCCCTAAGTTGGTTTGTTTTATCAAGAAGACAGGAAGTTCTTAGTTGAGATAAGAAATTGTGTCTCCTGGGACCTCTTCTGTTCAATCTTTTCAGGATGCCGTTAGGTCAGTTAATAAGCAGCAACAAAGTGTCCTATCACAGCTACACAGATGACCCTCAGACGACTGCAGGACCTTCACCAGTGAGTGGATGCAAAACAACTTCCTTCAGCTAAACATAATGATTTTTCTTGGTCACCAAGAGAGAGAGCATAATTTGTCATATCCAGTCTCTCTTCATAAATCTTTTATCTAAGAGTAATAATGGACTCAGAGATACATTTTGACAGCCACATCAGTAACATCATCAGCTTTTTATCTAAAAACCTTGCAATAATAACAATTTATTGTCTCAAGCAGACTTTGAGATACCTATCCATGCATCTGTATCTCAAGAGGGCTACTGTACAGTAGACTGCTACTGTAACTGTAACAAGTCCTGACAAGAACCAAGAAGTACGACCACATTAGTCCGGTCCTCAGGTCTTTGCACTGGCTTCCTGTGGCTCAGAGAATAGACTTTAAAAAAGCTCTGCTTGTTACAAGTCTCTCCATGGCCTCGCGCCAAAATATATTAGTGACATGTTAGTACCTATAAACCAACCCAGACTCGGAGGAGCACAGGGACTGGACTCCTGCTGGTGCCCAGAGTCAGAACTAAATATGGGGAGGCTGTTTTTCAGATTCATCTCCCAGAAGATGTGAGACAGGCGAGGCGTTTTACACCCGAGTGTACTGTGATTAGTTAGAATTTTCTTTCTTTTGTTTTGTTTAAAACTTTGAGATGCTGTGAGATTTCATAACACTTTGAAGCAACTTTTGTTAAAGTTAAACTCATCATTCTATCAATGTGCAGAAGCCAGTACTTTTCCCTTGTTTTGTCTATCTGAAGGCCAAGCTACATGGCACCGTGGCAGCTGCTGATTGGAGGTCTCCATGCCTCCGCTCTGTATAATACACTTGCATTCTGTTGTATCTGTGTTCGTGTGCTTTGTTCGTGCTGTCTCTACCATCGACAATAAAACATGTCTTCTGTCTGAATTAAAGACGCAATCCCAGACTTGGCTCATCTTCTTCAATGCTTTGTTTATAAACTGTGCTAAAACTAAAATTAAAAGTAGCCCATAGGTAAGTGCATTATTATTGTCATTCAGATTTGCAGGGAAGGCTAAATTACAATTTATGTAAGTTCACAAATGCCTATTCACACTGTGATACCATTGTTTCCATTCTCAGAATATTCTAGAATGATATAAGCTAGTATACAGCTTGGCATAATATTAATAGCAGCTATTGGACCTCAACATCTTGCAGAGGAGCAGTGGGTCTCATGAATGGGTGATTATGTTTATGATCCAGGTCTGTCCCGGGCCTCCACACCCACTCCCACGGGCATGAGGCTCTCTTCCCCTCTCTGTGGGTTTTGTGTTGTGTTGTCGGTGCGTCCTCGGCTCTGCAGGAGGAGCAGGCCGCCGCTCTGCAGCACAGGGCTGTGTGACGTCAACGCGCAGGAGCGTCTCGGCTCGAGCGAAAAAATGGGGAGAAGATTGCGAGGTGAGTGAGACACATTTCTTCTTTCTATGAGCGGATACAGTAAAGACATTACGGAGTGCGATAGGGGCTTTGGTATGCACTCATTCCGTCTGCTGTCGGGGGTCGTATCGTTGGCTGCTCCGGTGCGAAGAATTTATGCAACGTCGTGAAGTCCGGCTCTGAGCTAGTGCTGTTGAATTGGAGAAAACCATGCACATGCCAGGATGTGTTCTTTCCACCTGGGCACCGCTGCCATCAGCACATTTGTGATGTTCACCGGCATCTGCTCTGCTCGTGTGATCCTTCATTGTTCACTGAGCGCCCATCGCATTGGAATGACATTTGGTGATGCTGCTGGTCCACACCCACTTTACACAGCGAGGCTCCACTCCACACTGATCCATGTGCGCTGCAGATATGAGCAGGCGCTGTCAGCAATGGCCTCAGGTCTAAATACGGTTACTCCCGTTTGCAATCATCAATCACACTGCTCATTGCGTGCAAACTGCATTATGCCCTAGTGCCACCCCTACAGCGTGACAGGCTCCTCTCAGGTCTACTGTGCACCTGACAATGGACTATTCAGTTATAAACTGCCCTTACGGAGAAGGCTTTCATTTTGAACACTCTGTTAAAGAGCCTTTGTGGAAGGCCTGTAATGCTCACTATGACAATCTCATGAGACTCCTCAAACTCTTTGAGCTGCAGCTCTGGTGGCACATGGGTTGAAAAACCGCTGACTGATTAGGTGTGTAGTTGTTTGGTGAGATTTGGTGAAGCTGGTCCAGTCTTGCCAGGATAAGCAATACACAAGTACATACAGAAAGAGCAAAACTTACCTTTTGAAACGGACTTTCTTATAACTGCACTGCACCAGTTAGCCTTTCCATGTTGGATCATACTCTGTATACGTGACGTTAATGGACAGACATATTTTTAGTGTGAGGCTTGTTATTATAGTGTCCCTAGTTATTCAGCAATTATTCAGTTCACCTGGGAAATTATATGTCGACTCGTCTGCTTTGACAATTGTCCTTAAATCACAATGTTAACTACCCTATGGGCCTTATAGATCAATAATTCATGTATTTAAATGTATTACCAACTTGTCCAAGCACACACGCAATTGGATGGCAGAAGTAAGGAAATCAACTTCCCTCTGCGAGAGTTAAGCAAAAACTTCATAACTCATTAAAGTGAGTACACCCCTCACATTTCCACAAATACAACCCTTACCCAAATAAATTTTGATGTGACTAATGTCTTTCAGTTTACAGCTTGTTTAACAGTCTACATTTACTGTCCCCTCAACAAAAACTATGCAGCCACTGATGTGTAGATTGCTGCCAACTAAAATGGGTACACCCTGGAGAAACAAAAACCTAAACATTGTGACCAAATTGCCTACTTTGCACTGCTACCATTGATTTCCAGAATTGCTTCACAAGTTTCTCTGGGATACTCCCTCACATCACCGAGCTGTCAATTGTTCAAAAACAAGTAGACTTATCTCTGAGTAGATTTCTCTTTTTAGTTCCAAATGTCTGTAGATGGTCTGCTTCTCACTAGGGAGAAGCTTTGTTGATGTGTGTGAACTGAGAGAAAGCTGTGTGCCGCTGCCTGGATCAATAGTGTGAGTGAAGGGACACGCCTGTCCATCAGCTCGGTCAGATCCCAGCCCTGTCCTTCATGACTTTGAAAATGCTACCTCGTCAACGTTAGATTTTCACTCTGGAATACTAATACTTCTTCAAGGGCTCCCTGGTGCTGTGTCATAAAATATGCATGTATGTGTGCATATCATCTGTGATTTTTATCTCGTAACTTACTATTTTGAATTGACACTAATCTTTAACGCCTTTTCTTATGGTGTGCAAAGACACGTGTGCGGGCCTGCAGGCTTTGCCCTTTGCTGTCAGGTGAGGAGTCCATCTCTTGGAGGCTGTGAGATTGTCCTGTCACAGAAACTCTCCTTTTTCTGACGTGCAACAAGCAGGCATTATCAGCTCACAGTAGCATGTCATATTGATACATGTTTCCCCTACGTCCACAGAGCTACAACTGTAAATTAACTGAAACGGAGCACTCAACAAGTCAACATTTATATGAGTGGTAAAAAGTCGTAATATCTAGTTTATTGGTCAAGTGTGGGTTGTTGCTCGTCTCATGCCAAGGCTTAGTGTCCAGCTGAAGTCAGTAATGCCACATTCAGGTTTATACTTCTGAAGTATTACCCAGACTTAAACCATACTGACAAATGCATCAGATGTTGTCCATGGTGGAAATTGGTGAAAATCTACAATAAAATTCCCTTCTCACTCAGTTTTCAGTAAGTTAATAACAGTTCTGTTTAGCTGTGCATACAACTGAATCTGAATAGTCCTGTGGCTTTTAATGATTTTATCCCATGTGTGATTTTAATATCTCAAGATTTTTAAGTACTTGTGTGATTTTATTTGTTCTATTTTTGATATTTATTCTTACCTTATTGTGTGTTTTTAATGCCCTGTGGGATTTTAATTGTATCTTTTAATGTTCATGTAGATTTTAATGAGTAACAGTATGTCTGATGTTGTGTAGGAAAGGCACTCTACAAACAAAAGTTGATGATTGATTGCTTTGATATCTTTGGACCAATTAGAGTGTTAATGATCATAATGATACAATAATGATAATTTAAAACAAAATATGCACTAAAGGGTCTGTAATAACTCCTCATCATAACTTTCTTACAATCAATTCAATATGGAGAAGTTCACAGAGACATAAAATGCTTTTATTGATTTATTGATTTGTTTGTTTGTCACCGGAGACCCCAGCTGCGGCACTTGGTTTGTGAAGATCATGGCTTGTGTGCCGCTTATGATCCCCCCTTGGGCCTAGGTACTGTTTCGGGCATAAGGGCTAGCTGGGAAGACAGAGTGCACTCGAAGGCCGAAGAGAAGGTGGGGAGGTGGTGGTTGTTAGGTTTGTAAAAGCGCTTTTAAACTTCCGGCCCCGCATTGGTTGGCCAGGAAGTTGGCAGCACCTAGTGATAGGCTAATGGTCGGCACTAGATCATATACGGAATCGGGACGAAACCGGAAGTAACAATCCTTTTTTTCAAATTAGTTTAGACTAAAAAGTCCTTAAGTGGTGACTGGTTAAGTTTTAGGCGTCTGATTAAGATGGTTATGGTTAGGGTTAAGGGTGGGTTGGGGTTATTTTATGGGAATGGCTGGTTAAGTTTAGGCATGAATAGGTAGTTTGTTATATTTACTTCCGCTTGCGTCCCGATTCCGTATATGATCTAGTGCTGACCATAGGCTAAGGTGAAAGGGGCCTGCTTGGATGGGATGGAATGAATCTAGGAAAAAACAAAAGTGTAAATCTAATTTGTCATTGTAATCCCCAGCTTGTATTACAGTTGTGTTTGCATTATAGGACTAGAGTAGAGGGCAATGATCAGGATGATCCTGTGCTTCTAAAGTTGGTGCTCAGAGCACTTTTACTAATGGATCCATCTCACCACTCCAGGCCAATTCACTGTCCAGCATTTTCAGAGACTCTGCTATTTAACCCCTAGCTATTGAGAGTTCATATTCCAAGAGGACTGAACATATGGATAAATATTACTACTTACTGCCCATTTATCAAGTTTCACTAAACACATGGATATACTCAAAATATTGCCTCATTGTTCTTAATTTTTAAAGAACATGGGATGACAATGGTAGAGATATACAATAACATAGTAACCAAAAGGTGTTTGCTATTCACTCAACACCTATTGTTGAATGAATGTCCAAATAAAATATTTTCCTTTCTTGTGCAATGGTTTAATCTGATGACGCAACCTGTCTGCCTCGCCAAGAAAAGTTACAAATTATGCAAATATTGAACAATGTAACTGTTAACATGATCTTGAAATTAATTCTTAACTGTTTCTGTGTAAGCTCTCAGTCATACAGGGGTTAGTCAAAACAAAGGAAGGTTACTCACCCATCATCTGTACGTCAGTTAGCAGGTTTACCCGACGTTTTGTTCTTCTCCAAATAACAATGGAAGCTCAGTGAGTTGGAGATTTATAACCTGTGGGTGTGGTTAGACAGCCCCAGATCCTGAGGCTAACTCAATACCACAAGTTCTGATGTGGAGGGAGCAGGTCTCACGACGCTGCTAGGACTAACAATCATGTCACTGACCTGCAGTCTGCTGAGATTGCTCGAATGGAGAGAAGATCTACCACTCCTAATTCTTTAGCATGTCGCATGTTTCTGTTTCTTTATCTTCTGTAGAATTAAGGACACTATAGTGTAGTGCTTGTCCCATTCCATGTGTTCTTTTGTTTTAAATATGTTTTCAAAGTTAATGTTGACATATTAAACTAACAGAACATGTTCTGATCTGTTTCAGGACCTTGGCAGTGCGACCCAAAATGACCCTTGATCTTTTCCACTTAATGTGGTTGTTTGAACGAGCTGGACTCGTTGGGTTTCTTCTTCTGCTGATTCGCTGAGGTCTTTCTGATTTCACCATGAACAGATCTGATTGGCACTCGACCCTTGGACTCTCATTTTGGCGCTACCGTTACACTGCGTGAGCGCCCCCTCTCTTCTTTGACCGTACTGCACGTAATGGCCTCTTTGGACCTGCCTTACCGCTGTCCTCGCTGCGGGGAGCACAAGCGCTTTCGAAGCCTCTCGTCCCTTCGCGCTCACCTGGAGTACAATCACACCTATGAGACTCTCTACGTCCTGTCAAAGTCCAACAGTGTGTGTGACGCTGCTGCTCTGCTGCCCCTTGTGGCCGAAGGTGCTCTCATCACCCCAAACAACAATGACCCATTTGAGCCCCTGAGACCCTCAGCCCTGAAGGAGAGACATTTTCCATGTCGTGAACTTCCCTGTGCAGACGACCTCAGTCTAACTCCTGCTCACTCTAACAGTTCAACTCGCTATATACCCAATGTGGAGTTCCCCCTGGGAGAAATTTTTATGAAGCAAGCCATGGCATCCACAGACCCTGGTCCTCACGGTAACCCCAGCACGGCTGTAGCAGTAGCCGCAAATGTGGCAGCCAGTGCTGTAGAGGCTGCTTATGAAGAGGGACTGGCCAGGCTGAAAGCACGAGCCTTTGAGAGGCTGGAATTGGATGAAAGACTGGAAAAACTCTCTGAAGAGGTAACCACACCATTTTTACTTTGTGATACACAGACACTCAAAATTAATATATTGTCAAGTGATGTCATTATCTCAGGAATACAGTATTTATTTCGTTGAATGGGGAATTTTACAGACCCACATGCTTTTGTAATGTCCCTCAGGTGGAGCAGAAAATAGCAGCTCGGGTTGGTCGCCTGCAGGCTGAGCTGGAGAGGAAGAGCTCAGAGCTGGAGCGGGCCAAACAGGAGAGTGATCGTCTGAGCCAGGAGAAGCAGGACCTGGAGGACAAAGCCACAGAGCTGTCCCGCCAGGTGGACGTGTCTGTGGAGATGTTAGCCAACCTCAAGCAGGATCTGGTCAGCAAAGAGACTGAGCTCACTCACAAACAGCAGTAAGTGCACAATGTTCAATGGAACATGCTGCATTATTATTAGGGTTTTGTTTACAACCTTTGTTTGTCCCTAGCGGAGTAATTTATTAAACTTAATGAAATGTAGGAGGTCATAAATGCGTGTATAGTAGTTCTATCAAACCTTAAGAATTAGGATTGAATGCCAGCCTATTTCAGAACAGGTACTCCCACAGTGCCAGCCATTTCTGATGATTTTTACTGATTTTTAAAGACCCACAGAATATTGTGTACTATGACTATCTGAAATCCGACACCAGATTCTAAAAGAATGGACTGTCTACTTTCCTCAGCAAAAAGAATTTTGTTTATAGCTTTTTTCGTTCCCCTGTAATCCTCCGTCGAGTAGAGGGAAGTTTTACTGAAATCACCAGAAATCACCAGAAAGTTGAGAAAAAAGAGGCACAACATGTGCACCTACATGTTTTCAAACCATTCAGAGAGCAATGCTGCCACCTGCTGGCTCGATAAAATATGGTCTCAAGTCATCCCCATACATATTAGATACAATAGACATCTGGGAACGTGAAAATAGCGAAAAAGGCAATTGACGGATTAATATGTCAATGGCACACGACGTTACTATTTGCTTTGACGTATTTGTGCGTCAATGGGACACAATGAGTTAAATATTTAACACCTCAGCAATTTCGCAATATTTGTCCTTGTGATTACTTTAGTTTTTTAATTTTTATAATTTTTGTTATTTAATTCCCGCTCTCGACTGAGACACATCTCACTATAGCTTAATTGTCATTTAAAATCAGGATATATTGCATCGTGTCTACAGTATGTATTGTGATATGTACAGTATCTTATCGCCAGATACAAGGCTATGCAGACTCTCTCACAAACTCACAAGTGTTAAAGTGTTGTTTTAACAATGCTGTGTTTTGGTTCATATCAACATCTAGCCATTGGCGAAGGTTCAGTTGTACAATGGAAACTGACAGTTTACATACATTGTATAAAGTATAAATCAATTTTCGGTTTGACTTCAGGCTAAGACATTTGTCTTGACTTGGTAGTGATTATGGCACTTCTTTGGTTGTATTCTTGATATCATTATAGCGGAATTGTGAGTAGAGGAGTCCATCTGGAATTCTAAAGACATGGTTACATAGGTTATTACAAACAAACTAGGCCAGGTGGCCTGGATTGTCGGCGCCTTGGAGTAAAGAGCATAAGCGCTGAGAAATGAATTAATGAGAATGAAAGAACGATTCTTGAGCGTCTGAAGTGTTAGTGAAATAGCACCACACTGTGACAGCGAGGGTCAGAACAGAAAGGAGTAATCCCCCGTAGGAAACGCATTCCTTTGGCCCTGGAGCAACACACTCCCCTGTGTCCCTTGACCACGGTCCAGGCGCTCACATGAACGGTGTATCACAAGCAATATAGAATGTGAAAGTTGGCGACTGCGGGGAGAAACATGTCTGAACAGACTGCGCGGCAGAGGTGCAGTAGCACGCAGGCTGGAGATAAACAATGTTGAGTTTATTTCGCCGGTCGAACGTGCAGTACCAATCATAGAACTGTCTCAATGTGGTCATTGAGACAGTGGCTGTCTAGCTAGCAGACTGAAAGTACTTGTAAAACAGCCAAAACAGGAGCTTAACCAGGACTAAACCAGGACTAAACCAGGATTAAACCAAGACTCACAATGGGGGACACAGTGATTGTGAACATATGCCTCCAGCCTGAGTTCTCATTCTCCTGTGACTGGAAACAGGAAGTACTGTTTGATAATAAAACAAACTTATGGCGCACCTCTGTGGACACATACTGCTGTTAGATAAACAGCTCTGGAAGGTCTCAGACACAGAGGTGCTGCAGAGCTGTATTCTTGGAGAAGAACTTTACACAAAAAGCTGCTAGCTTCACTCCGTTAGCACCAAAGCCACCCGCCACTTCCGCCTTGCGTTTTCCGCCTCCGCCCCCCAGCGGCTGAAATTTAAAGAATGTGCGTCCAGTGTGCGTGGAAGCTGCGTTCCAGCGTTTGCGGTCTGAACGCCACGTAAAAGTGGGCCTTATCTCAACCAGAATCAACAATTGTGGCCGTGGCCGGTTTTACGACCCTTTGGCTCCCTCCGATCAGGTGTGGGCCTCCTGCTGCTTTAGGAGCCGAGACTGTGTCACACCAACAACAGGGGCAGGCTCAGCGAAAAACAAAAACAATGCTCTACTACCCTCTTTGGGAGGGAGCAGTCCACCTCATTACGTTATCAAGAAAATAAAATGTTAATACACCTGTCTATTGTCATGCTTGAAATGTGCAGGATTTGATTTTTATAGATGTAGTATAGGATAGGCAAATACGCCAGG